ATCGAATCCCCGCTGTGGCAGCTGCATTTCCAATGGAAGCGGAAATGTTGTAGGCCCGTGTGCTCAGATTTGGGCACACGTTAAAGAACCCCAGGTGGTCGAAATTTACCGGAGCCCTCCACTACGGCGTCACTCATAATCATATGGCGGTTTTAGGAAGTTAAACCCCACAAATCAATCAATCAATCAATCAATCAATATTAGTTCACGGACGTTGTCCTACTACCTTTTTAAATGTTTCTTTATTTACCGCTAACGTTAACCCATCAGCATCCGCTTCCGAGGATACACTTTACGACTCGCTCAGTGTTGCCACTTGGGTAAAAGGTAATACAATTCAGGAGCGATTCGCACGAATACAGCAAGATAGAAGTCTGTTTATGGTGAATTGCATTGTGCTCCATCTTTTCACCCTGGGGACGAGGTGCTGCTGTTGACTTCTGTTCGCACACCTGAATTGTGTCACAAGTTTCAGCAATGGTTCATCGGGCCTTATACCGTTCTGGAGTTGACTTCGCCAGTGAATAATCGCGTCACGCCCCTTGTAGCTGCAACCAACCACCGTTTTCGAAGTACCGAAATTGTCCACGTCTCCCGCATGAAGTCCTTCATGCGACGCTCCTCGTCCGCTGGATGTGCTTCGGCCAAGCTGGACACTTTCACGTGGCATTTATTACATTCATCTTATTATTCTGTGCATTATCATCATTATCTTGTGTTGATTATGCACCCTCATCGTTCTCGTGCATGAACATCAGCATTCTTGGTTGGTTGTAGCTGTCGGCTGCTTGGTCCTCGAACCTGATAAAAGGTTATCCAAACTAAGACCTCATAATACCATTAGTTCCAGCTGCTGATGACTTTCTTTAAGTTGTCGGAGTTATGAACAACGCCACTTGGGTAAAAGGTAATACAAATCAGGAGCGATTGCACATAGAGTGAAAATGAAGGAAGGGTCTGAGTGGTTTAACGGGTGAAAACTGAGCAAAAGTCATTGTTTAGTACAATAGCGGCATCCTCTTCGGAAAAAGGGCAACCATTAGAATCGATTGGCGAAATGCCTTCCGGTTTTTCGGGTTGAATAGTTTTCAAGAACCATTTAGGGTAGTTGTGCAGCAAAGGGTAGTTGTACCTACGCACCGGGCCTAAGTGATCATTCTTTACTGTCGTTCAACATTAAGCTCCCGCGTCCGAAGCCGCTTAAGAGCACCAAAATAATTCGCGATTATAATAAAGCAAATTTTGAAGGCATTAACAATGACCTGTGCAATTTTCTTGACACTTTTCTGGAGGGTTTCGATGAACGCACTGTCCAAACTAATTGGAATCTGTTTATATGTAAGGTAGATGAACTGACCAACAAATAAATCCCCGTCCGCTCCATCACTACAAACTTACACGCCCCCTGGTTTAATAGCCACATTAAACGGCTATCCAACAAAAAGAAGCGTCTATACAGATTAGCAAAGCGTTCTAACAACGCTGCCCGATGGAATGCCTACAAATTAGCGTCTGCTGAGTACATCAGAATCATCCAATCTGCTAAAGACACATTTATCAATACCACTCTTCCATCCATGCTATCCAACGATCCTAAAAAGTTTTGGCGCGTAAACCCAAGTAGTGAACAAACGATAAGCCTTATCAATAGCTCTGGAGACGCTGTAGCCCCTGAGCAGTGCGCTTCATCTCTCAACATCTCTTTCACTGGCAATTTCTGTCGCACTATTAATGTTCTTCTACCACCTAAGACATGCTATAACTACCCAATCATGTCCCCAATTATGATAGATTCTGTTGGTGTAGAAAACATAATTAAGTCCCTCAAACTTTCATCCGCCCCGGGCTGCGACCTGATTACCACCAAGTTCCTTAAAGGTACCGGTGCCTACTCATCCATTATTCCTACTAAAATTTTTCAACAGTCTCTTTCACGAAGGCGTATTACCAATCGAATGGAAGATTGGCAAAATTGTGCCATTTCACAAGTCCGGTGACAAGCATTCCCCAATAAACTATAGACCCATCTCACTTACTAGCATTCCATGCAAAATACTGGAGCACATTTTGTACTCTAACCTTGCAACCTTCCTTGAGTCTAACTCGTTTTTTACGCGTCACCAACATGGCTTTAGGAAAACATTCTCGTGCGAAACCCAGCTTGTAGCCTTTACACACAAATTAAACGTTATTCTTGACCAAACTAGCTCTGCCGACTGCATATTCATAGATTTCTCCAAAGCTTTTGATAAATTCTGTCACAACTTGCTGTTGCACAAATTAAATGAACTTAATATAGATCCCAGACTTCTAACATGGCTCGAATGTTTTCTAAAAAATTGTTCTCAATTTCTTTCAGTTAATAATGTAAGCTCTGAACCAAGTGCCGTCCATTCCGGCGTACCACAAGGCTCCGTACTAGGCCCACTGCTCTTCCTTATATACATTAATGATTTACCGTCCTGTATTACCTCCAATATTCATTTATTTGCGGATGACTGCGTAATCTTCCGAGAGATAACTCATGATGGCGATATTACCTCTCTTCAACATGATCTTAACTCCATTTCTCTTTGGTGTAAAACATGGCTCATGGAATGAAACAATGAAACAATAAGAAATGCCAATTTTTATGTGTTTTGAGAGCGAACCATCAACTTCCAAACTATTACCTTGATAACACCCCTCTTCAATCCGTGACAAACTATAAATACCTTGGGGTGCATATAACAACAGATCTGGCCTGGACTGTCCACTGTAATTACGTCATTAAAAATGTTAACCGAATGTTAGGTTACCTCTGCCGCCACTTTTCAACGGCCCCTTCTTCTTTGAAACTTCTTCTTTACACTACACTAATACGACCTAAACTCGAATATACCGCTGCAGTATGGGATCCTAGTCATGCCAACCTAATACACTCTCTTGAAATGGTACAGAATAACTCAATTCGTTTTATACTTTCTAATTACAACAGGACAGCTAGCATAACAGCCATGAAATCTAGCCTCAACTTACCTTCACTTTCATCCCGTCATAAAATGTTTCGTCTCCACTTGTTTCACAAGCTGTTTCATCACACATCGCTGCGGGACGGTCTTATCCTGCCTCCCAGTTATATCTCACCCCGGCCGGATCATTCCCATAAGGTCGGGTTGCCTTCTTGCAGGACTCGCGCCTTTTCTCAGTCTTTCATACCTCGCACCTCTGAGGACTGGAACCGGCTTCCCGCTTCAGCGGCAACCATTGTAAATCACCTTCATTTCAAAAGTGTCTTAGCTAGTTATGTGTAATTACAGCCAACAAAGTATTGTATTACCCGATGCTGTGTTGTTCCTGTACAGTATTAATTTTCTTGTCGTTTTTCCTGTCTTGATGTAATTCTCATCATTCCCGCGTTTTTGTTTGCCATAAAGCCTGTTAGCTAACCTGTATAATTAAGATCTTCTACTCGATCTTCTACTTCTACGATTCGCCGCTGCATTTTGTAAAATTTTTTTTCTTTCTTTCTCAACCACTCCCCTCTGTAATGCCGTTTGGCCCTGAGGTTATTGCAAATAAATAAATAAATAAATAAATAAAGAAGGCAGCGTGGTACCGTAAAAGTGACTGTTGGCCTGCATAATTGAAGTTACATATTCCTTAGCTACAGTGAAAAGAATAATATATGTGTAGACAAATATTTCTGTAAGCAATTAAAGAAAGTTTGTCACACTCAAGATATTTTTAAATTTCCTGATTGATGACATAGCACTGGTCCTTGTAGTACTAAGTAGTTCCTCTTCTTGTAGCCACTTTGCTTTTTGCGTTGATTAGAGCATTTTTTCTATAATCTTAGATGACTTTGTTAGCCGTAAATATACATTGCATGATAGTAACAGTAAGTCTAATTGCATATAATGTTTAGCCTTTTACGTCAGCGTGTTTCTGCATGAATGTGATGCTAACATTTTTCCAGTTTCCTGGTGCACTTGTCTTGAGACATTGTGTACAGTGTGTATAGTACAGCAAGCTCTTCAAATTAGAAAAAAAATATTGCATGTTTGATCAAATCTACTGTTATATCGCAGTCTTGTCAAGATGCGTTTACGTAATACATGTTCCATATAATTATACATAATTGGGCTAGGCCGGGGGGTCATCCATGTTGCGTCATCCATTGCGATTACCCTCATCTTCCGCGTCTTCCCTCAGACCCTTTCTAATTTCTCCGCCTTGTTCACGTGCATGTTATAGGGTCTTTCTAAGGATAAATATTTATGGTTGTGGAATTACGAAAGACAATGACTTGCGCAATCTTACACGTCACACGCAAATAAGATGCTCGTTTGTGATCTCGGGTGAATTGTCGAGCGAGTGTCTCTTCAGTGACGTGCGTTCGTTTAGGTTTTTTTTTTCCTTCTAATTCACGGAGAGTTCTTGCACGGTGTATCACTTTGGCCGCCTTTTCTGCACTACAGGCGTCGTCAATTTCAATACAGCTTACATCTGGTCCCTGAACTTCCTGCCGATGATCTCAAATTACACGCAATTCCTTGCGATTCCTAAATATTGGGTGGTCGGAACTGCCGCCACCTGCAAGCTCTGCACATAAGATAGCAGGCCGAGGCTCAAATAGCAACAGTTCGGAAGTAATTATTCATTGGTGTTTTCGAGTTTGGTCACCGTAGATCAGTGCATACCGCTATGCCACACTGCTCATATGCAAACACAACAGTCAGCTATGGTCACAACTTTATGGCAATAAAAATCTGCATGGAGAAAATGATATTGAAAAGTGCTTCGACCAAGCATATTGAAGTGCTAGGCAGTGGTGCGCATGTACGAATAACTACGAGACGAATAAGCGCGGAGCCCAGATTGCTTTTGTGATCACGTGCAACATTAAAGCGTATAATTTTCCTTCATCGAAAACACTTCCTATTTAAGAAAGAGATGTTTGGCTAATGTTACGATGTGCTCTGCTGCTGATCAGTTTTCTTGTTGCACCTTTGTTGCAGTAAGCAGCTGAGTCGCACGAACAGGAGGCTGCGGCGCGCCTGTCGCAAAGGCGTCAAGTCACAAGCCTTCTACTGGATTGTCATCGTCCTTGTGTTTCTGAACACGTTGACACTAGCATCGGAACACCACACCCAGCCTGCGTGGTTGGACCATTTTCAAGGTAAAAAAAAATTACGGACCATCTCTCTGAAGGGAACCATAATGGGATGCGAAGCAGCAGCGGTGCCCAGGCCAGTGACCCTTTGAAATGGGCGTCGATGCAGGTGTTGGAAGAGCGTTTTGAAGCAAAACTCGGTGTAGCCTTTACTCGAATAAAAGGTTCTTTGAAGCGCAAAGACACGGGAGGCGGATTGGGTTTTGTGTAAGTTTCATCATAGATAAATGAGCTGAAAGAGTCCGTTCGACATGCGGTCGAGCGTTTCGAGGGTGCAGCGATAGGAGAAGTGTGTTGCGAGCGGGCGGAGGAACAACACCACCTATACTCTGTTTCAGAAGTTCCGTTCAGCACTGTGAAGGCTACAGGTTCGCAGTCAATAGGAAAGGCGATTAGCCTCTCCACATGTTCTCATCCGCGCCGTGTCGTCTGCTCACCGTCTTCAAGGCGTCTGCTCGCTAATTGTCCTTACACACTCATGGAATGTAACATGGGTGGTTTATTAACTTTAAAAAAATAAGCAGAACTGTCACACAAGTCATTACACTTCAATGTCAGGAGGTTTGGCGTCTTAACAATATGATTTGTAGCTCTACTGAAGACCGGTAGAAGCTCCTGCTGATGGATAACTTCACTTTGTGGCTCTCCAACGCTGTTCGTGGCTCTGGCGTGACTGCTTCTCTGTCAACGTGTTTTGTCCCGTCCCTCGCTGTAATGCTTCTTCTGTATTTTTTTGTTTGTATCATCGAAAGAGCATTCGACGTGCGTGAAACGCTGTGTGAGGTTGCATGTCTGATATTTGGAGATGCAGCGTTCTTGGCCTGGCGACACATCCCAAGCCCTGGCTTCGGCACGTTACGCTTATCAGATATGGCTACGCAAGCAGCATATCTCACTAATAACGACCAAGTGTACGTTATAGCTTCATCCTCAGAGCAAGATGAAACGAATTGGTGGCCGATTTCACTGTTTATTTGTGGCCGTCAGCGCTGTGGGCGTTTAGCAGGAGCAAGTTTGGATTGAAGATGGCGGTCGCTTCTGCATGGGGGCTGCCATGTTGACTTTTAACAATAGTTACTGCCAGTAACCGACACGATAGTACAAGTGGGTAAGAAGTGAATGCGATGAAGAAAAAACATAAGTGGCGCAACACGCACCAAACGAACGCCAATTGTAGACTACCTTGCCATTTCCAAGACACTTATATCTTGAACTATACTCCACTGCGCAAGCGTGTGGCTTTCTTACACCCCGTAGCTTCGGTAGTGCAGAACCAAAGTTGTGAAACAGAGTATAGCTGTGTTTGGAGGAGCTGGCAGTTGCTGCGGCTGAGGGAGAGAGGGACGTCAACGCACAGCTGAGACTTGACCTACTTGGCCTATCGTTCCAACTACTGGGGCGGGATGGGAACGCGGTGCGGCGCATCAGCACGGAGACATGAACGAACAGCGTTACACAAACTAGTCAAAAATTTTCTTCGCATCATTGATACTAATAATTTTATTTCCAGCAATACCATGTTGATGGAGGGAGTATGAAAAAAAGCGACAGGCCACTTGACTAAGTTCCCACTCTCTAACTACTTCAGACAGAGGGTGTGGTGGTGACAGAAGGCATAGAATGGTCGCAGTAACTCCTTTTCATTTCAAACTAGAATATATCAAGCTATAGCAATGTCACCGCTACCGCATTGTTAGCGTGGCACGAATGTCTTGCAAGTTATGTCTTGCGAGGCATGTCATGTAGCTGTACATGACATGCCATGGCTTTCATATCCGCACCGGTAGTTCGAATTTATTATTGCGTCTGACACAAAAAAATTGAGCCTTTATGTTTCCTTCTTTTTCCTTCATATGCCCTCATGCCACTTATAAGTTCGTCATACAGTTACGTCAACGATACCAAGTTTGGTGTGAATCAAGCTTGTGGCATGGTCGTGAGAGCACCATGACCGTTTAATGCTGCTCGTGTTGCACGTCGCCTTAATGTTATGTCAATGTTTTTTGTTGCCACCCACAATTTATTATCTTTATGCAGTCACAAGGCGAAGTAGCTTTTTGGTGTGCACCAAGTTCAACTGGCCGAGAGCGCACCATTCGCGTGGCGTGCAAGTCGTGCTGCATGATATGTAAGAATTTCTGTATTACCACTTGACACTTATGTTCGTCATACAATCAGGTCGCTTGATGGCTTATATCAGGCAAGCGTAACGGCGATGAGCACACCATGACTGTGACATGCAAATCATGTATTTACATGCATATCGTGATTTTATTTTTAAAATCTGTTTTCATGGTTGGCATGCAGGCATGACTCGCAATACCAAATAGAGTGTACATCAAGCTAGCTAAATGACCGCAAGCGCACCATAAGTGTGGCATGCAAGTCATGATGACGTGACATGAGTTTGATGATTTTCATTTGACCAAAGGTCATTTATGTTCGTCGCACAGTTACATTGTGTCGTAGTAGTTTTGCTCGGGCGTGATGTGTCAGGATTCGCGACTTCAACTGAGTGATCAACACCTAGCGGCCGCGCCTGGAAACGGCGCCAACAGGGTAAACCTTGAAATTAGACATGTTACCACGTCACGCATTGAAAAGCGGTCGCATTGTTTTTTTTTTATTTTCGCCCTACCGGGCGCGTGAGCCTGAAAAAGAATAAAAATAGGTGCAAAAACCATTGCTTTATGCCACAATGCGTGGCATTGGAGTGGAACGGTGGCAACATATCGTTCTATTGCTTCCCGAAGGATGCAGATGGCGTGCGGTGGAGAACTGCGCTAATAAAAAAACTTGCGCATCGGAAAGAATCTGACCGACACTACGGTGGTTCGTTGTAATCACTTCGCTCACTGACAACTTATTTTTTTTCGTTGAGTAAACCATTATTTAGCATATGTGCGTTCGTAACAATATTTGGGCTATCCCTAAATACGAAGTGTATAGTTTAGTTTATGTAGCAAGCGCTTTAGGAAATTTTTTTCATAAAGTGTGAGTGTACTTCTCGCGTGTGCTTGTTTTCTCTGCAACTCGTAGTGCTCCCCAGTTTCAAACTACTTTTGTAATCGCTCCCTACGAACATTATATTTATTTCGAATGCGCGCGTATACACACAAGCGTGCGCGATAGTCGTGCTTGCGTAGCGGGCATGTATGTCTGTTCGTGCCTATATGCATTCGTAGTGTTCGTAGTTTACGTGCCTACATTTGCTTTGAACAATACTGCCAACACGAACAAGCGATTCTTCGGAAGCACACGACGTTATTCAGTTGAAAGCGCCATAACGGGGATCGGCGAACAAAAAGAAAGGATAACTCCTAATAGAATTGAAACTACGATTCGCCTATCTCAAGATACACTGTATTGAAGTGAGCAGCATGTGTACTCAGCTCTTGACGAGACAACGGAACTCAATAAGATAAATGCAATCTGCAGCACGAGTCGTAGCGTATAGTTACCTCGAAAACTGTTCAGGCCTGCAGCGGTGCAGCAACGTACCGCACAAGTGCTTGCTCCTTTCGGAGACGCCGGCTACACATAAAAAGTTGCCTTCTTCAACATCAGGCTCGCTGTACAGGTTACTCAAATTGAAGTAAGTTCGATGTGGTTCGCCGAAAAGGCTCACCGTTTGCGCGCACGCCGCAAAGATTTCCGCTGTTTCGCAAGTGAATCCTTTATGCCTGAGAGAATGAGGCGGTCCGCGGCCAGCTCCCTTTCGCCTTCGACAAAGCAACGCAATCCGACGCCACGATCAGCACAGCGCCAAGCGAAATTGAGCGCCGCGTTCACTCTGTTAAACGTAGCCATATTTGTTTTTTCCACCTAAGTTGCCAGCACACGGAGCCTTTTCTGGAGTTGCGAATAACAGGCTAGCGTCATGGGCAAACATTGATGTACATACATATCATATGTAAGCTTTACTAGCGAATCATTATCAGTGACTTATCGAACTTAAGATTGAATGCTGATGAAGAGAAGATGTATAAGGCACTTTGCACTCTCACTTCAGTGCAAGCTTTTTTCCGCAGCTGAGAATTACAGAGGCAGCGCATTTAAACATTTCCGAAAGGTAAATCAAACGCGGCACACCAAATCTGTAAAATACGTCAAAGAAGTACAGCCTTGCACTCACTCTGTAGATGACCCACTGTACCAGTTTTGTACGTTTTAACGAAGAACCCATGAGAGGAGCCATTTTTTAGTTTATTTTTTTAAATACTCCCCACAGGGTCGTCGGCGCTAGCAGGCGTTTGGTGTGTAACGACTCCACGTACCCAAGCTAACGGGGGGCTTCGACCTCTCCCGCGCCTAGCCGTGCGTGGCTGAGCCGTGTCCGGGGAAAAGGGGATCTTGGGGGTTGAGTCAACGCCGGGTGATCGGACCTTTAAGGCACTCCAGCAGAGGCAACACACTTCTTTGGCCCCAGCTTCACGCAGACGGCACCCATGGTTGGGTCAGCCCAGGGGTGCCGGCAGTCGCCTTTCCCTACGTTTCTCCCCTACAACTTCGTCTTTATCTCTCACTTTTAGTCTGTCCTGACTACATCTCTCTTCTGTTTACTTCCAATTTTTCTGGCGGCAAGGGTTGACCCTGTGCAAATAGCCTACCTTGGTCAGAGCGCTTTGGGTTAGGGCAGTGTTTTACGGCTGACGTCTGCAAGCTTTCAGCATCCGCAAACCTACAGCGTCCCCTTGTATCGAGGCTGCCAATGCCGCTGAATAAAGATAAGACCGGCATGCGTAGAGCATTCCCCTACTTAACGATCTTAAAGCAGGTACGCACGAATGACAAATTTTTGAACCAGTCAATAGAAACATTTCGCCAATTTCACGGCATTTACTCTGAGAAAACTGGGAAGCAAGCCAGGACCGTATCTCCCTTCGTAGTTGCCAGGTGTCTTACCGAAACTCTCGGGGCTGGATACAAGGTAACCAAAATGGCTAGCGAAGACCTCCCCCTCGAAATTCGGGACAAGGAACAGTTTAAAAAGCAAGATGGCCTCT